AGGGAATTCTGGGAATATCAGTTTACAGCTTTTGACTGTAAATTATACATTGATTTGTCATTTTTACTTCTAAAAACTGTAAAATTAACAGCATTTTACTGTAAAATTACATGAAATGTCTGGTTAGATATTTTACAGTTTTTCCCTGTATATAGTACGGGAACTTACTGTTAACCTATTAACATTTTTTTTTCCCGTAGCGTTTTTACAACATTTTACAGTTAAAAGTACACTTATTTTTACACAGTGTATTCATTCTTCATGAGTCGTGACTTTGGTGAAACTGAATGGCAGAAATGTTCCAGCTAGTTCTGCATGTTGATTATCCAGCCTTAAATCTTCTGACAGCACAATCTAAGCATCTTCAGCGCTGAATTCAAGTGCCTGTCTAATCTGGCTTTCAGTTTAAGAGGGTTTTGTGCTTAGAGTAGCGTGATTAACTCCAGGGATACAGGTGCTGCTCACATGAGCTCGTCTAACACCAGCACTGGGACGATTAACAGGGTTAAACTATTAGCACACAGTCTGTCCCGAGACCTGCAGAGGACTTCAGATCAGCCCTAATACAGGGACAGCTAGGAATAAACCATGCACAACTTAGAAATGCATCAATTATCAGTCTGTTTTAGTGATTAATTAGACATACGGAAAGACCATCTGATAAAAGAAGCAGGCCGAAGCAGCAGGAACAGAGTCTGCAATCACAAAAGCACTTGATCCAGTAATCTGCCTCACAGCTCTCTCTCTTCAGCTCACAGCAAACACATTCAGTCTGTCTGCGCGGACACTCAGCTCACAAAAATATGCTCGAAGAACGTTCCGCTAATGTTCTCATGAAGATATGAAAAGATGTCTTCTGAACATTTAAAACGTCCGTTTTTAAAAACGTTTTTTTCTTGGTTATGTGAAGGTTTAAAGATCTGTAAATGGTTGGTTCACCCAAAATGACAAACATTTTACATTAACAAACCACTTTGATTTTTATGGAACACAAAAGTGATTTTTTGAAGAATATCCTGACCTATTTCATATAATGACAATGAATGGAAACCAGTGCTATCAAGCTTCAAAATGACCATAAATGACCCCATATAATGAAAAAAAAAAAAAAAAAAAAGGGGGAAAATATTTTTAAATTATATATATATATATATACATATCTCTGATGTAGTAACAACTTTCACTCAGAAATTGCTAGTACATTTTTTACAAATAATTACAGATAATCAGCAAGTAACACTTTAAATTAACTAGATTTTTAGAAGTAGAAAAGTAGTATTTTTGCTGTGTATAATGAAAAAGATTATGATAAGTCAATGACAACTTAAAATTAATTTCTCTAATACACCTTTTGTGTTCCACAGAAGAAATTAAATCCTTCCAGTCGGGAACGACTTTAAAGTTTGTCAGTGATGACATAGTTTTCATTTTTGGGTGAACTATCACTTTAAGATCTTTCGCGCTCGTCTTTACTTCAGCCGCAGTGATCTTCCCTCGAATGACTCTGAAAGTGGAAAAGGACTGTGTATTTTGAGCTACAGTTGAAGCTGTAACTTTAAGATCTTTCTTGCGACTCTACAGGAGACAACAAAGCGTGGGGAGGATGTTTTGAGTAATGTATGACACGAGAGCCTTGACGTCTGAAATATTAATGTTCGAGCACAAGCCGGCGCTCATCATTAAGCACACACTTCATCAGGCTGCCGGTTTGTTTTTAGCTGCTTTTCCATATTGCATGTTGCCCAGTTAGAGATGCCAATCACTGGTTAATTCACGGAGCGCTCGTCTTTACTTCAGCCGCAGTGATCTTCCCTCGAATGACTCTGAAAGTGGAAAAGGTCTGTGTATTTTGAGCTACAGTTGAAGCTGTATTATATTTTCATTGCATGACACTAAGCTCACTGTGACATCATCAACATGTGGATCGGCATGCTACGTTTTCCTCATCCGTGTCACATACAACATTAATCCATGATGAATAATAGACTGACAATTACTGCCAAGTGAGTGTCTGAATGTAGAAAGGCGCTATTCTAATGCCCTCTGTGCAATTATGGCAGGCCGCTCCATCCTTCAAAAGACTGAAAGGTTTTATCTGCATCTTCATCTTACTGCCTCTCGATGCAAACAACAGCATATATCTCTCGGAAAACAACCTGGGAAACAGATTTTTGTTGGGCGTGCATTGCCTACACACGGCAGATAATGAAAGCCAGCCAGCGAGCAAAGCAATTATTTCTTATTTGAACATTTCAAGAATGACAAGCCAGGTATGGCTCAGCACGCTTAATAAAGCTCTGCTGCTCGTTATACTTTCATGAAAACAGTGTTTTCTAGCCTGAAGGAAATAAATCAGGCTTGCTGCTCACTGGCCCTGACCCAGGGGTCACATTTTTATAGATGGCTACTTCATCATCCAGCAATCTGTTCTTGGACTGCACACAGAAGACTGCAGTTGCTTGGACTGACTAGAGCGACCTTGTTCTCTGATCCTTGAAAACAAGTTACATTGATAAAACAAACAGGTAAATCCAGCCAGATGTACTGCCATGCCACTTGCCAATGCATTCAGGTGTCACGAGTTAAAGAGTGCCACTTATATATATGTATGTATATATATATATATTATCAGAGCATTACTTTTTTGGTTAATTTTATAAACATTTTATGTATTTTTTTCTATATTTAATATTTTATAAAAATAAATATTTTAATTGTAATTCATTTAAATATATATATATATATATAATTTATTGTGTACATGTATGCATATACTCTAAATCATGGCTAACACCTAAATGCATTTAGAAAAATATGCACTGAGAAAATTTTTTTTTATCATGAAATCTCATTATTCTTCAAATATGATGATTATAAAGACAAAAGTGGTGGAAAGCCATTTAAAACAAATGTGATTATATTTGTGTTGCATTGCATTATATTTATATTATGTCATACCTTATCATTATGTATTATTATATTAGTATAGATCTGAAGAAAAACAAAACAAATTTTGGAGAATGACTAAGTAGGGCACATTTAACCTTTTGACCCCGGTCACATCTGCACTTGGATCATGGAAGAAATAAATCACAACATAAACCAGACAAATCACCACAAAATGGCCATGTAATGCACTTACCCTGATGCTGCCCTGATGCAAAAGGATCATTAAGGGTAATGCAATAAATATCAGAACTGTAAAGCTATGACACGCTCTCTGTGTTTATTTGATATAGCATCAGTGAAGTCTGCATTTGCAGGTAATAAAATCACAGTGATATCTGCCCTGTCCAGCACTTGTCACATTAATGATAGCATCCTAAAGATAAGAGCCGTATGTAATAATGTTTGTGCAGATGCTTTCTAACTGAACGCAAAGCGTGTGGCTGCGTGCATGAGTAATGTGATCGCCAGCTTTACTGAGCTGATCTGATCACTGGACTACAAGCCAAACCGCTCTCGGTGTTTATCTGATATAGCATCAGTGAAGTCTGCATTTGCAGGTAATACAATCACAGTGATATCTGCCCTGTCCAGCACTTGTCACATTAATGATAGTATCTTAAAGATAAGAGCCGTATGTAATAATGTTTGTGCAGATGCTTTCTAACTGAACGCAAAGCGTGTGGCTGCGTGCATGAGTAATGTGATCGCCAGCTTTACTGAGCTGATCTGATCACTGGACTACAAGCCAAACCAATTATGAGATCAACAACACCCGCCTGACATCTTGAAACGGTTTCAGAATATGGTTAGATCTGCTCGAGGGTCACAGAACCAGAGTCATGCAGAAATGTGACGGTTTTGATGTTTGATTGCTCATATGCAAATCCAAATCTAATCCAAATATTATCTTCTGAAGCCATACGATAATTACATTTAAGTCATTATTCGCAAAATATGCTGCGATGGGTCAGTGGAGCTCTCGCGCGCAGTTGCAATTTTTCTGGATAAAAAGAACAAAAAAGTTTAAATTATTCAACTGACTTCAAGGGTCTATGAATTAATCATTTAATAATTTACCATAATTGAGAAAATAATAAAATTGGCAAATCATATATATATATGTGTGTGTGTGTTTTGGAAACAGCATGCATGCAAAGGAATGCAAGAACATTAATTTTTTTTTAATTGTTTTTAAGTCTCATATTTAATTTGCATTTCTGTGTATTATAACATGTTCACAGGACAACGGCATTTTGTCGTTTTGGGGCAAGGTGTCACATTTGAATCGAAACCATGTCAAATGTGTTCGAAATGTTACAAATGCAGCTAGTTACTTATTTACTGGGTACAACAATTGCAATATTTAATATTTTTTGCTCCACATTTTAAAATTGTGTTTCATATTTGTTTCGCTGAAATTAAAAGCCTGTAAGCAGGCTCCGTTGTGAGAAATTTCCCCAGATAATGTGGAGACAGACTGGTTTTGTCCAGAACAGTAAAAAAAAGTAGCTGGAGTAAAAGGTGTGACAAGCTGTGTTTTAATATGATAAATGCACAGACTTTAATGAGATTTGGAAACTGCACCAGGTGTGGACTACCTTTTTCTTTTTTGAGTTCTTACCCGTTTCCACGTTTCCGGGGTAAACAAACCTACACTCTAAAAAATGCTGGGTTAAATAGGGACAAACCCAGCAAGTGGGTCAAAACAACCCACTTGCTGGGTTTGTCCCTATTTAACCCAGCATTTTTTAGAGTGTAGAAATTTCCCCAGATAATGTGGAGACAGACCGGTTTTGTCCAGAACAGTAAAAAAAAGTAGCTGGAGTAAAAGGTGTGACAAGCTGTGTTTTAATATGATAAATGCAGACTTTAATGAGATTTGGGAACTGCACCAGGTGTGGACTACCTTTTTCTTTTTTGAGTTCTTACCCGTTTCCACGTTTCCGGGGTAAACAAACCTACACTCTAAAAAATGCTGGGTTAAATAGGGACAAACCCAGCAAGTGGGTCAAAACAACCCACTTGCTGGGTTTGTCCCTATTTAACCCAGCATTTTTTAGAGTGTACTATTATAAGGAGAGCAAATATTAATGTGCACCACTGTGGCCAAATGCATGCCATATTTCATCCCGTGCTCATCTGATGCATCAGTAGAGCAGCATTAAACCCGCCGTCAGCCTCCAATCAAACAGTGCTGAAGTTTCATGAATGGAGGACAGCAATCCTACAATGACAACCTCTGGGAGTATGGAAGCGCACGTCTGCTCGATCCTTGTCACACAATGACGCTCTATAAGGCGGGTTTGGTTCAGGAACGCTGCTCCGTGCCGCGCGATGTCTTCGGCTCCGCTGCGCTGTCGTTCGTCAAAGCGAAGCAGGTGAAGTCCTGAAGAGAATGGCCGTCAGCAGAGCGTCCTCGGAGGGATGGCAACTTTTAGCAACGCGCCCCTGGACCTCCGGAGACTCTTGCAGAGACTAGTCATCATGTTTTCCTTCAGCATCATAGGCGCCTCGATCCTCTACCTTCTGCTGGGACGCTGCGAGCCGGACGCGGGGGACAGTTGGGGATGGAATAACAATAAGACGCCTGATAGCGTGGATGCAAACAGCTCAGGGAAGGACCTCCCGCACGCGCTCATCATCGGAGTGAAGAAGGGAGGCACGCGAGCGCTGCTGGAGTTCCTGCGGCTGCATCCGGATATCCGGGCGCTCGGCGCAGAGCCGCACTTCTTTGACAGACACTACGCGCGCGGAATCGGCTGGTACAGGTGATAAAGACAGGGGAACGAGGGAAGGAGTTAATGGCACGTTGTTGTGGTTAATATAAGCCCGTTAGTGAGTGGAACTATGTAGGGGAGAGTGGGGACGGTTGCAACACTTTTTGCATTTCCTTTAGTTTCTCAGAGACTGTTTGTATTAGAAAGCCAACATTTTGATACAGTTAAGACACATCTGTCAGAAATGTTGCAACTGACCCCATAAGAGGGCACGGTTGCAACATTCATTAAAATGTAATTTCTTAAATATCATTGTGCGATTTCTTTATTTTATTTGTGCACAGAGAGGGTCTTCAGTAAAGTTAAATTGGCTGTATAAAAACAAAGAATTGTAAATGAAAAAAAAAAAACATTTTAAAGTAACAAAAGTAACAAGTGTTTTGGTTAATTATTAGATCTAAACTACAACATATTAATTTAATCAAAATCAAGACACTCAAGACACTG